ACTGGATACTGCGACATTCTGACAGGTTGTTGCGCATCAGCGGCTATGTTGTAGGTTGGTGATAAGTTATTAGCAATGACAAAGTGTTCTGTTTTTTGTTGTTTGTCACTGGAGGCCAGCTATCAGAGGCTGATGTGCATCATCGGTGGCTAAATTATTGGGAGGAGGTAAACATAAGTTGGCAGTATCGGTGGCTACATTATCGAATGAGTGAATGGGAGTAGCATCAGTGGTATTATGTAACAGTAGTTCAGCATTGGTGGCTGCATTATTTGATGAGTGCATGGTAGCAGCATCATGGAATTATGTAACAGTAGTTCAACATAAGTTGGCAGCATCGGTGGCTACATTATTGGATAAGTGATGGGATCAGCATTGGGGACATTATGTAACAGTAGTTCAGCATTGGCGGCCAAGTTATTGGGAGGAGGTAAAAACAAGTTGGCAGCATTGATAGCTACAGTATTGAATGGGTGCTTTGGAGTAGCATGCATCGGTGTCATCATATACAGTTGTCTATGTTATTGTGTGGTGGTAAACATAAGTGGGCATAAGGGGTGATAAATAAGTGTTCGCCCTTCCTCATAAAATGATACAGAAGGAAGATTTTTTTTACACTATTTTTCAACATAGTCCCCAGTGTTGTGACAAGGTTTGAAAAAAGTGGGGACCAATGGCCCCATGACCCCTTTTGACAAAAATTGGGTCAACACAAGTCAAACATAGAACTGATTATATTACATCATAACATGTAGTTTTATTTCCAGTTTTGTGTTACAATAACAACATTGCAGTTAACTGGCAAACTGAATGAAGATGGTTAAAGTGGTTACAACTGTAATGTTACTTAGTAATAAAATGTTTAAAGTTGTTCATGTGAAATAAAAACATTTATTCAACTTGTGTGGAATATCTTTCTGTCTTTAGATTTTCTCCAATGTTGTAATGCTGCATTAAAGTCAAATGTTTCAATTGGGTCATCAACTCTTGCAGAGGACAGCCGCCTATTTCTAACAGCTGTTTTAATCTGGTTCTGGGCACTGAAACCCCTTTCACAATCAGCAGTATGGATTGGAGCAGTTAAAGCAAATGAGGCCAGAGTTAACAAATTTTGAAAATCATCTTTATGATACTTGTTAATCAATTCCCACAAATCAGCCATTTTTTCTCTTGGATAACCAGCTTTGACTGCCAATGGCTTCACAAGAGACCACTCTTTTCTTGTAGTTTCTGCATCAATTATTGGTTCAATTGTCACAAGACAGGTTTGGACACCTTAGGCATTCCATACTGGCAGACAAGTGTTTTTAAATGTTCATTACCCCATGTTTCAAGATCTTTTTGAGAACAGAATGATATTGGCCTCATTCCAAGCACAACAAAAGCATACACAATATTACTATCATTCTTTGGAAATCTCTGGTCAATTTTTTTCCAAGATTGCATTAACAAATGTTTCCCTGATTGAATCAATGTTCTGTTTACCCTGTATGATATGGTTACCTTTGAAGGTAAGTCTCCCCTTTTCAGACTTCAGATGCTCACTCTGTAGCTGATACAGGTAAGTGTCATGTCCTACTTCAGAAGATTTCATCCTATTTAGAGCTGTTTTGAAGTGATCTACTGACACTTGCACTAAGCTAACATCAAGGTCAGATTTTTGAAAAACAAGGGACAATTCTGAGACTATTGGTAATATGTCCATGAGCAGGTAAGTGGTAGCTCAAAATCGTACTTGGACATCTTACTGCCATAACCTTTAGATTTAGCATCTTTATCAGTGGTAAAACATATGATAAGTGAGTCTAAACACCTATACACAGTTTTTACAGCCAGATAGACAGACAACCATCTCACTTCATGAACCTCTTTAATTTTTACATTGGGTTCTTCAAGCAAATTTTGAAGATCTGTTAATCTTGTTGTACGATTTGATGATGCCTTAAAAAAGTAGAAAATCCCAGTCATTATTCGTTGGTATTCAACCAAGTAGGGAACCTCATCAGCTGCCTGAGATGTTACCAATGCTAAACGATGTACAATACAGTGGTAATTTAACATCATTGGGTTTTCTCTTAACATGTAGCCAGTTACACCCTGTCCTTTCTCTGTCATCACGGTGGCCCTGTCTGTACCAAGGCCCATTATCTTGGTTGGTGGGAGCTGTTTTTCTTGTATAACACCAGACAATTCTTCGTGAATGGCTTTGCCTGTCCCACTTTTTACTTCCAAATTGCATAGAAAATATGTTGATGGTTTGAAGGAGTCCGGGTTTAAAATTCTACTATAGACAACCAGTTTTTTTTTAATACCAATATCTGTGGTCTCATCACACAAAACACTGACAAAGGGCGACTTTAGCTGTCTATTATCAAGTCCTTTTCGGATAACAGTGGCAAGAGACTCTAGCATTTCACATGCTGCTTTGTTGGAAGCGTAAGTTACATTTTTTCCTGTTCTAAGTCATGTCACATGTGGACATTCAAGTTGCTCAAGCAGGTTAAGTAGGCTTTCATATTTGTTAATTGCAATGTCCTCTTTTGCCAAAACACTACACATATAGCAACCAACAGGCTATTTTCATTTTCAGTGTGAAAATTTTTTACCGCCTTCTGAAAGTTGGACATCATTGCAGCTCTGTGATCGTTACATTCTGCATGGCGAGTAAGTGTGCTTGTTCGGAAATTAGCATTCTCTTTGGTCATAGTGTTCTGTTTATTATGCTTGATACACACTTTACAGGCCATTGCATTCTTGGAAGCTTAATATTGTAGCCATTTAAAATCTCGTAGCCACTTATCTTGAAAATGTCGGACATACCTTGAAGTCTGCATTCCCGTGAAAGATGGTTCACCCCCGATGTCATCTTCACGCTCTTGTGATGTACTAGTAGAATCACGTACTGTAGTTTTCGAAGACTGTGATGTTTCCGGTGGAGATAAAGACACATCTTCCACAGGAGTGGATTTTTCTGACTCATCTAACCCAATCTCGTCATTCGATTTGCTTTTCTTTTGAGCTGATGGTCCGAAAAAGCTCAACATTGTTCTACCCTTTCGTTTTGAACCATTGTTTGCAGACATCTTGCTTTCAGTTACCGACTCAATAAAACGGCAGTGTTGATTGGTTGAGGGCGAGGGCTTCGCCAATGAAAATAAATTTCACAGTTGAAGGTAGGCTGACTGCGCTGGACATCGATGTGACAGCAAGCGTAAATTTTAGTACACAAACTGAGCGAATCAAAATCAATTTCACAGTTGGGGCGTGCACTAATTGAGTAGTCGCTATGTCAACCGTGACTAATAGCGTTATTCTAGTCGTGATTTTAGCCAATGAAAATTGAGTTCACATCGGCGATTAGGTAGTATTTAGTAGACACAATATCAACACTGTACGATAGCATATAAATACATACACGCGGATAGGGGCCTAGCAGCCGACTAGGTAAAGGCGATTTCGTTTTATTTACTCGTCATTAAAAAAATGAGTCGTCAAAATGGCATGATTTCTTTGAAAGTTATTATTCATTACAGATTTGTACTGGCAAAATGAGTGCGCCCAAAGGCCCTTCCAGCCAAATAAAGTTGTGTCATTTGTTATTTTTTGGCGGGAATGACGCAAGGGCGCGGCCTCGGCACAAGACTGAGTCCCCTCTAAGTTCAATTCACTTAGTCCATTGATGTTCCAGTTTTCCTATTCCCTGCTAGAAGAAGATTACATGTTTGATCCTTTAGATAGGCCTCAACAGCTTGGATGACGTCATCGTCAGACTCAAAACTGTTACCACGCAAGTGGGACTTCAGTTTAGAAAACAGGTATAAGTCCGATGGTGCCAGGTCAGGTGAGTAGGAAGGGTGAGGTAAGAGTTCAAAGCCACATTTGGACGTTGCTGCCACGTTGCTTTCCTCTCCTTTTCTCTTTGATTGCTGCTCTTAACTGTCGCAGTTCTGAGTCATAGTACTCTTCATTGATTGTTAGACCATTTTGCAAGTAGTCAATCAAGATGACTCCCTTGCTGTCCCGGAACACAGAGGCCATCAACTTGCAGACTGATGCCACTCGCTTGGGCGGCTGTGAACCCTTGTGTGTCCATTGTATGCTCTGCTCTTTTGATTCTGGATCAAAGTGGTGACCCATGTCTCATCTTGGGCCACAAATTTCCTGAGGAAGTTGCCAGGATTTGACTGGAACTGGAACGGGACAAAAGCGTCCTTGAAACATCCAAACTGTTCAACTTCTAATGTGAAGTCAACATTCGGGGCACTAACCTTGCAGACAGCTTGCTCATCCCCAAGATGTTCGACAACACATTTTGAACTGTGCCATAACTGATGCCTAGTGAATGCCCAATATGTCGGATAGTGGCACTTCTGTCATTCATCAACCTGATTGTCTTTGGTGGCAGATTTTGGGCGTCCAGATCTTGGGTCCTCTTTTGTGCTCTTCTTGCCTCGCTTAATGTTAGCAACCCACTTCTTTACAGTGGAATACAAAGTGTAGTGACCATGTCTTCGTGGATTACTTTGAGAGTCATCTCCTTTTTATGGAGATACTTAATCACAGCACAGGCTTCTGTGTGGTCCATTTTGTGATTTTCATCTCATCTGCTAATTTTAAATGAATACCTAAATTTGCATGTCCATAGGTAGTGACTTAAGACAAAGTAGTATAAAGTTATACCCAAGAATAGGAGTTCCGCCCTTTGTTTCATGATGAGGCCGAGAACGTATTGATCAGCCCTCGTAGTCTAGAGTGGATAGTCAATCAGGCTTTTATTGGTGTGGACAGCATGGCGAGATGATTTAATGGAACGAATTTAAAAAAAATGGATGTCCAGTTTGCCAGTGTAAGTTGTGTGGTCTTTGACCATTGAACACTTGTCTTCCTGATATGCAGCACAATTGTGGCAGATTTGGGTTTGTGAGTTTGCTATGTAAACATCTTGGCCTTTCTTTTTCAAATATATCATTCCATGATCTTTGACCTCGCTCAATGGCAACATGGAGTTGGCGAATTTCATCCCAGGCAAAGGTTTCAGAAAGGTATAAAAGTTTCATTAAGTTCTTTGTGCATGTTTGTTCATGTTTCTTACTTTCGATGGAGCTGATTATAAACAATTCACCTCTGGTTAAGGCTGCCAAGCTGAGTTGAGCATATGGAATGCCATCAGAACCTGTGCATTCTGCTTTGAATGCATAATTTTATTCATGTGGCCAGGGAACCATATAGACAACATGATCACTAGCTTGACATGCCAAACTGTATTATTTGGGGCTTTCGCTTTTTGGCTTTAACGTGAGTGGATGTATTCGTAGTGCTGGAAAAGTCAGTGTTGTTGTCTGAATATCTACTAATTTTAGCTGTTCCTTGTAGATGGAGTTGTCATGTTTAAAAGAGGGTGGTTTTAGCTTGGATGGATTTGGCGGAAACAGCAAGTGCTGCTAACTTTCAAATTGCTGTTTTTGAGCCACTCCGGTTCTAGATTGTCATTTTGTTGTTGTATAGAATCAAGGATTTCCCTCTGTTTTCGCCATGTCTTTTCATGGTTGTTCCTCAGAGTGGGCGGTCTTTTTAAAATCGAAGATAAAAAACTTATGGGAACTGAGCAGGTGGAACAACTACGCATATGACGAGCTACCATCGCCATAAATGGAATTCTAGAACAATAACAATATCAAACAGCCAGGGAAACTAAAATACTGAAGCGGACTGAGAATCTGCTATGTTGTTGTTGCTATAAATAAATCACATTTCCAGTATAAGAAACTCTTAAGCTCTTGGTGATGCATCAGCTAAGGTCACCTCACCATTATACATAGACGGAATCCCCACTATTACACTTCAACGAATCAAACACAACGGCACGTGCTATAATACGTTTCCATGGCAAATAATCAAACGCGAAGTCACATGTATTGTCAGTTAAGCTATATAACATATATAACAAGCACAATCCACAATTGAAGGATTGAAATTTGAAATTGGTGCAAGTTGTTTTAACAGAAACGCTGATTATTGGATTTAGTTTTGGCGCGTCCAATCAAATCAATCAAATTCAACTGAGGTAAAATAAAAACAATTCTAACACAATCACACACGGGTTCAGCGAAACCATGCAAATTGGACGACGTGGCAATATCACCTGCCTATGTCTACATTTAAGAATTGCAGATTCTTCCTACTTGCACTCACCAACCAGCGAAGAAAAGGAGCTACTTTGGCAGCAACAGAAGTTGCAGATCGCTTTAAAACACATTGTGACATGGTGAAATCTTCGACCTACAAAGGCTACATAGCTCTCCCATCCCATTTCTGTTTTTCCATTACACTTAGCACTTGTAACATGATTAATGATAACCTTCTCATCATCCTTTGTGGCCCACCATCTGTGAGTTGGCAACATTTTACCCACCCAAACTACATACCCAATTTTTGTTTGTTTTGTTCTTGTTGATTATTTTGTTGACTGTTGTCAGATTTTTCTCTGTTGTTTTTCTTATTTTTTGTTTGTTTTTTATGTGTACAGCTTTTGTTCTATGACCTACGGGTGGGGGGTAATTATTATTTTTTATAACCAGGGATTTTCACGGAGTCAGTACTGTTATGGACAGTGTTTCGGGTTGAAAAATGAGTTATTTAGGTTACCTCTTGATTATCATGTGAGTTTGTAACTACTTCTGTAAATTCTACTCTATTAAAGAACACTATTTCTCACGTTCCTTTGCAAAGCATAATATAATTTGGTTTAATGTTTCATTTATTGAATTTAGCTTCTAGGTGTATACAGTGCGCTTATACACCTTACAGAGGCAGGGCATGTTGTTATGGTCAGGAATTCGAATCTCGTATTTGATATATATTACAACTGTTCAATTAAATCCCAAACAACGGCCATTATTTATTTTCAATTAGCACAAATTCGACGCTTGTTATGAGTTGTTGTACATGAATAATAGTTTAAACGCATTCCAGTCCCAAAAAGTATTATTTGCAAATCGTTGACAGTAAGTGTGTTTTGATTTGCTCGATCCTCAGGTTTCGTCATGAGTTGACTGCCCCTGTTCTTTTTTTTTGGCAGGCGCCATTGTGTAATCATATGTGTAATTGACCGGGAAACTAGTGCCACTAATTTGCGATATACCAATATTGACCAGTATGATGTCACGTGATGATGTATGCCAGATTACAGAGTAACCGTAGGGTGACACGTAACCTTTGTCCTCAATGTGCTAAGGGTCAGTGAACTTACTAGTCTGGTTCCCAATCAGCTGTGTGAAGAGTTGCAGTGTTGTTTTGTTCGTCAAGATACGTAAGGTATGTGGTAATATGGGTATATTTATATAAAATATTATATGCACGATAACTGAAACATAAAACATGAAAACACTAGGGTTGGCACGAGGATACCTGAACTTCCAGACATTTACAACTCTGATCCAACAAAGCACATGAATTCGTGCTAATAGTACACAAATCTGCCACACAATCCCCAATGCAATCCCTGCTTCCAAGTGACTGAAATACGTGTATATAGATGTTGTTTAAGCTTCCCGAAGTTTGCTGGATTTGTCTTAAAACAAGCTCTAAGAAAGTTTCCCGTTTTATGCATGAGTGTTCAAACCTGCACTGTTGTCGCTATACAGAGGTTATCGTTACACTCTGCAACTCCATCTTTGTATTATATTCAATATGCATTATACTGTTTATTGTTTATTGTTATTGTTTATCATGAGAACTATAAAAATATGAACACTGAAGCTAGCCATCATTAAAGCTCATTAAAGGGTGTCCAATTACCAAATCGAGCATAATAAGCATTGTTGTAATCACTCAGGACCTTTTGTGTGTATTCTAGAGGTACTTCTAAAATCGATTTCAAGATTCTATCCATAAGATTTGCCATGAACCGTTCAAAATCCAAAACCATAATATGTATGTGCGTTTTTACAGACGAAACAAAATGAGAATGCAACTTTACCCAAACGTCTGTGCGGGGATGGGAGAGGACAGTATGTACTGTGCACATGACTTGTGAACCATATTTGTCTGTTTACTTGTTTGACCGTTCAAGACTCGAAGGGTCATCAATTTCTAAATTTATAATAATCGATATTAGACATCCTATCATGAGGTGAAGAAATCAATGCTCACACAGTAAAATAATTGTTGTAGTTGAATATCTTTCAGAAGATGAAAACCAGTGGATTAATTGGTCTGCTTCTCTTGGTGCTCGTGTACGGTGACGACGCCACTCGGAAACCTAATTTCGTCATTATAATGGTAGATGACCTTGGCATGGGTGACGTTGGTTGTTTTGGCAATGACACTATACGTACACCTAATATTGATAGATTGGCGGCAGAGGGCGTTAAGTTGAACCATAACATGGTACCAGCACCTACTTGTACACCAAGTCGTGGTGCGTTTCTCACAGGACGTTATCCCATACGCATGGGTAAGAATGCTACCAATATTTGAAAGATCTAACATTAATTTAACTTACACACATGCCATTTAGTAAATGTGTTTTCTTCACTCGGGCAAATAGTGATCATTTTAATTTTACAGGGCTGGCATCCAAGTTGCCGAATACTATGTTTGGATTTAACACCGGCATTGGTGGCATGCCATCCAGCGAAATAACCTTCGCCGAAATGTTGAAATCCACTGGGTATGCTACTGCTGCCCTTGGTAAGTTTACCATTCTAGCTGTTTTTCTTTTTGATACAAACGCAAGATACCACAATTTAATAGATCGATACATTGTAAAATATCTAAATTTACAATCAATATATTGTACAGAATTGAAGTACACATTGTCATTAAAATAATGTATTCTTATTTACAGGTAAATGGCATCTGGGATTACACAGTTTTAGTTTTGGTCATAATTTTGAATTCCATCCATTGAACCAAGGGTTTGACTTTTTTTATGGTACACCATTGACAAATATGAATGAATGCGCAGACACACCCAATGGTAGATCCAGTATTATGAGTCTCTGGCACGATTTCTATACTGTTATTACAAACGTGACTGTATTTTTGTACTCCCTAGTTGGTTTGTTGAGATTTTCCAGGGTAGTCGGTCCTACAAGTTTTAAAGTGTTACTTTTACTGACGACAATCATTGCCATTGTAGCATATTGTATGCCCTATTATAACTACCGATTTGAATGCGTACTTCTAAAAAACTACGAGGCTGTTGAACAGCCGTTCAGATTACAAAACATGACTCTCCGCCTGACAAAATACGCTACATCATTCATTGAAGAAAATAAGGAAGGTCCGTTTCTGTTGTACTTATCATTTTTGAAAGTACATACTGCAATGTTTACATCCAAGAACTTTACTGGAGTAAGTAAACACGGACAGTATGGAGACAATGTTGAAGAAATGGACTGGAGTGTTGGCAGAGTACTTGCAAAGTTAGATCAACTTGAACTGACAAAAAACACATTCGTATTTTTCACATCCGATCACGGCGGTCATATTGAGGAAATATCTATCGAACCAGGGCGAGAAGGTGAACGAGAAGGAGGATGGAATGGTATATATAAAGGTAAACAAATGTTTTTTTAAGCATATATATTTTGAAACTAGATATTAAATGATTCATCAACATAATCAAGGTATTTCTGCAAACCATTCATGCAGTATTTTACTGAAATATTTAACTATGTATTTAGTTGAAGGATGTACTTTAAAAATCAAACCTTTACATTGATCATGTGACATACCCATGTGACCACTGAATATAAAAAATTGACTGAATTCTTATTGCAGGAGGTAAATCTCAAGTATGGGAGGGTGGTGTTCGTGTACCAACCATAGCACGATATCCACCATTGATACCACAAGGATCTGAGATATCTGTTCCAACTAGTAGTATGGACGTAACACCGACATTAGCATCGTTGGCAGGAGTGAAAATACCACGTGATGTTACAATAGATGGAGTTGATATCACAAAACTGTTAGCTGGCAAAGACAAAGCGCCACCACATGAGTTTCTTTTCATTTATTGTGGTCCATGGATACATGGTGTTACATATCGTCCTAAAACAGGTAATATTTTATGCATATTTTTTATCTGATTATATGTAGAGAAATATATCGAATTCGTATGTTTCGTATTATATCCAAACTTACAAATACAATTTTGACGTTGTTTATATTGCAGACGACATTTCATACAAAGTGGTATTCACCTCACCAAAATGGACTCCAGACACGGAAGGATGTTTCAACACATGGTTATGTCGTTGCCATGGTGAATGGGTAGACCATCACGATCCACCACTGGTATATGATCTCACGCATGATCCAAGTGAACGGCGCCCTCTAGACCCAACAAATAGTGATGTGAGAAAAATAACATCAAAAGCTATTGAAGCAGTCGATATTCATGAAGGGACAGTTGTACCTGTAATAAACCAGTTTCAACGATTCAGAGTAGGCCCTCTGTATCCATGGTTACAGCCGTGTTGTAACTTCCCGTTGTGTTCATGTGTAGAAGAAGGTTACGAAAACTGGGATTTAGTAGATTTTTGAATGCAGCTCTATTTGCCAACGTTTGAGAAAGGGTAGTACCAAACGTATATCAATCAAACAATCAGTTTAACTTTAATTTATTTTAATTACTACATAGACTATGTTTTAGTACAGCGTGACGTCTCATTGGAGAATTCGCATATTACTACCCTTTTGAAATCAGAAATATATTATTATGGTAGGAACTGACAAATGTAAAGAAAACTCAGTTTCCAAAAGCGCGGCGATCAATGTAAAAAATGTGTTTTGAACCTTTACGAAATATTATATTATTTTGTAATAAATGCACATATAGAAATTCGATTACTGTGACATTGGTAACAACATAGGCCGCTCGTCCATACTAAATCGCACATGTATATACACATCAGTGAATAGTATGGCACTTCTGAAGGTGAACCGTTTGAATTTTAGAAAATACATGTAACATTTCTTTCTTATCCACTGGCAATGTTGGCCGAGCTGGTTCGAAGCACCTGTAAACCATACTCTACGACACATCGCCAGATTTCCTTCCCAATATAGCTGTAATTCAATTCAGATAAAAAAGTGGGTCACAAAACTATTAGTTACTCAAATAATTGGCTCTTTACCGTTCGTTGCTTGATTCACATGTTAGATGGGTGCTTATAGTTTAGTGGCGGCGGAACATGGGGGGGGGGGCTGAAACCCTTTGTGTCAGCAAAATTGTCCCTTCAAAATGCAGGAAATAGCGTTTCAGAGGTTCTATATTTCAAAATTTTTAAGGGGAGCATGCCCGGACCCCCTAGTACCGTAAGGTCGCACCTTCGGCGCAAGGTTGGTGAGCAGATCTCGCCCCTCATGCAAAATTTGGTGCCGCTGCCTCTTTAGTTGTCACTAATAAGGATATTATTATTTATAAATTATTAGTTAATAGGAATTCCAAAAAGAACCATCTGTTTGTAAAACCCACTCTCAGTTACAGATTTCATGCAATCATGATTCACAATCAAGTAATCATTTGTCTATTCAGACTGTATGTAATGCCGGACATAATGATTTTGTTGCTTACTACCACAACTATTTTAACCAGTTAACAACCTGATAGCTCCTTGGATCACACATACACCTTTCCCTACAAAAGTGTATCACTGGCATCGACACCAAGACAGACTTTTGTATCGAAAATAACTTTGTTTGGCTTTGATTGGCAGCCTATTTGTCGAGGTTTGAGAACACCGTTTTCAGCAAAGAATTTGCACTATTACTACACTAATAGGAATGACGGCTGTTTCTCTAATTTATTTATTAGCATGAAACAACATTTGGTTAACAATGAAAGGTATTCTTTGTGCTACGAAAGGGACGTAGTGTTGAGGCGGCAACTTCGACTCTTACACTGTAAATATACTACGTTGAATCCAAGTTAATATACATTAGTTCATTACAGATAGTCAAGTTTTATTCAACCCAACGAACAGCTAAGGTAACGTATTGTTCTTGAACATTCAGCACACGGACTACGACTGGGTATGATAGTTTATTATTTTGTACTTCATCCATTCAAAACATACCTCTCAATCTGTGATAATTTATTTTGCGGAAAAAGTCAGTGGATAATTCCCCCCTGCTTGTGTTTGTATTAGCCGAATACATCACAACTTAGCGCAGAATGGTTGTGTTGATAATGGCTTTATACGTACCATGGTACGCCGCATCTGAGTATGTAGGAGGCTAGAATTGCGTATGGACCATCACCAACAAATAACAACTATAAAACCGGTAAACGTACCTAATTTACCATACATATGTTGGAAGTTCGAATGCAGAGCATTGATTCCATTGGTGATTCCGAATATAAGCGCAGTTATACTGATAGGTTTGAAAGTTGACTAAAATTCGTAAAATATTGTAGAGCTTCGGTTTACCTGTTGATTTTTAGCATGCTTTCAGATTCAAATCAGAGTCGGCGGCACGAAATTTGGCATGAGAGGGCGAGATCTGCTCACCGACCTTGCGCCGATCCCACTTTAGGTCATTTTTTATTATCCAAGAAACGTTCCGAGCTCCTGTGCCCTCTGCCCCCTGTGCCGCCGCCACTGCAAATTTTGGGCCGCTGGGAATCACGCGAGGAGCTGGCAACATCTAATCGTCTACGTTATATATAGTGTCACTATTTGACGATATATCAGTATCTGCCAATCTGGTTTTATACCCCAGATTGTAAAATAACCATCAATCATAATTGATTACCCCTAGTCTACCGGGTGACCCATAACCTTTGTTCTCAATGTGTTCAAGATCATTAAACTGACCAGTTTGATTCCTGGACAAACGCATAAATAGTAGGCACAGTATTTGCTTATTTTGTTAGTAAACATACAGAAGGCAAGTCTGCAAGTGTATTTACGTGAGTATAGAATATATTATTACCTGCATGATACATATACGTAGGTAACATAAAAACATAAGGGCAGACAGGGCACTATTAGAAAACTTTTGACGAGTATAACTGAACTTATAGTTGCATGTTTACCTGACTGACCATTATTGAACCGAATACAGCAGACAATTTGCTTTCTCTGAATAGCTAGACTAAGACTACAATATACAATATTTAGATCCAAATATAGCATTACCAGTATTCAAATACGTGTTATCTTTTATTTTAGGTCTGGCTTCAAAACTGTCTGGTACAATGTTTGGTTTTAAATCTGGTATTGCTGGTATGCCAGCGAATGAACTAACATTTGCTGAAATGTTGAAAGGGGCTGGTTACACTACTTCTGCTCTTGGTAAGTTATTGACTCTCTTGCTGACATTTGATTGTATCTTAGAAGATACAATTTATATAATATATCTTAACTTGTCCCATTCCGTGTGTTCCCCACCCAACCCCTGAACTGTCGATAAATCATTATTCTCTGGTTTGATCGATATTGTATACTGTGTGTAATTATGCTCATTGCTTTCATGAAATGACGGCGAGTCAATTTAATGTGTTTTTCAATTCACAGGTAAATGGCATCTGGGATTACACAGTTTTAGTTTTGGTCATAATTTTGAATTTCATCCATTGAACCAAGGGTTTGACTTTTTTTATGGTACACCATTGACAAATATGAATGAATGCGCAGACACACCTAATGGCAGATCTAGTATTATGAGTCTATGGGACAATTTCTATATTCACGTCACCACTTTCAATGTTACGCTGTATACCATTGTAGGTCTTCTACGATATTTTAGTAAAATTGGTTCTGAAGTGTTCAAGATGATGGTCATTTTCACAATCATGATTACTATAATGTCCTGCAACATTCCAAAGTTTACCTATCGTTATGTATGCGTGCTTTTCAAAAATTACGAGATTGTTGAGCAACCCTTCAGATTACAAAACATGACTCTCCGTCTGACAAAATATGCTACATCATTCATTGAAGAAAATAAGGAAGGTCCATTTCTGTTGTACTTATCATTTCTGAAAGTACATACTGCAATGTTTACATCCAAGAACTTTACTGGAGTAAGTAAACACGGACAGTACGGAGACAATGTAGAAGAAATGGACTGGAGTGTTGGCAGAGTACTTGCAAAGTTAGATCAACTTGAACTGAAGAAAAACACATTTGTATTTTTCACATCCGATCACGGTGGTCATATTGAGGAAATATCCATCGAACCAGGGCGAGAAGGTGAACGAGAAGGAGGATGGAATGGCATATATAAAGGTAAAATTGTATTTACACTGACACATGTATTTCATATTAATATAACTGGAGAATGGTAAACATGCAACACATACTAGATAGATGACAGCAATTCAAATGTAATTACCCAGTAAATTCTTATTGCAGGAGGTAAATCTCAAGTGTGGGAGGGCGGTGTTCGTGTACCAACCATAACACGTATCCACCATTGATACCACAAGGATCTGAAATATCTGTTCCAACTAGTAGTATGAACATAACACCGACATTAGCATCGTTGGCAGGAGTGAAAATACCACGTGATATAACAATAGATGGAGTTGATATCACAAAACTGTTAGCTGGCAAAGACAAAGCGCCACCAGATGAGTTTTTTTTCATTTATTGTGGTCCATGGTACACGGTGTTACATATCGTTCAAAAACAGGTAGCAATATTAATCAAGGCTATATTGTTAAGTGATATAAAGCATCTCTATTTATAATGTTAATAATATTTGCATTATACTTTTTCTCCTATAATTCCTATATTGTGAAACTCCATTTAAATGTTAGTATTGTATATGCAACTAGTAATAGCCATGTACATGTGTGTACCAAAATTGTTAGAAGCATTCCCAGAAGAATTTACAGAACTATTTAGTATGCAAGGTTGCCTTTTACAGGCTTCATGTGTACTATGTCATGCTTGTTACAATACATAGTCATTCTTAAATCACATTCACCAATGACAATGATTGTATCGCCAAAGTGGACTGCAGGCACAGAAGGATGTTTCAACACATGATTGTGCCGTTGCCATGGTGAACACGTAGATCATCACGATCCACCGCTGGTCTATGACCTAACCCATGATCCAAGTGAACGTCACCCTCTTGATCCTACAAATAGTGATGTGAAAGAAATCACATCAAAAGCATGTGTTGCAGTCGCGATACTTGAAGGGACAATTGTACCTGTAACTGACCAGTTTAAACTTTTTAGAGTGGGAGGTCTATATCCATGGTTACGACCTTGTTGCAACTTCCCATTATGTTCTTGTGTAGAAGAGGATTATGACGACTGGGATAGCGTAGATTTTTGAGTATAATTTTAAAATATCATTTTTAATGAAAATAATATTCAAATTGATTCTCGAGAAGGATAGGGGTGAATGGTACCCGTATATTCATAATACATGTATGTGAGCTTAATCACAATGTACTTAGGAGAAGTCATCTGCTGATATTAGTTAGTGATTCACAAAAGAATACATATGTATCTATAAACTTCATAATGTCATTGTTCTGAACAGCAATGGCAGAAATCAGTTGAGGCTGTGAGAATGTATGGTGGTGACAGTAAAAGTAAGACATGGCAATAAAATGGATAAATTGAACACATATAACCAAATTGCTATTTAGTCATGATAAGTCATAGTCCTGCGTACAGTGCTGTGTGTACGGGGACGCGGGTGGACAGCCCTGCGTACCTCCA